CGATTATCTGACTGGGGTGGCGTCCCTAACAAACTTCCGATAATCAGCGCTATCAGTGATATTCTCCAGATCGGTCACCATACTGGTAGACAGCTTCGCAGCATCCTTGTAATATGATAGAGCGCAAGCATGAAGAGAGGTTGCTCGCACATCGCCCACCTTGCTTCAACCAGTTTCGTTAATTCATCACTGTAGACACTCCTTCGGAACTTTTCGTGCAAGTCTCGTAGAACAATGACGACGTCTGCAAGAGTGTTTTCTTCGTTTTGCAATTTAAGCGAAGCAAAATACAGTGGACTTGTCCCTTCTTCAGCATCCTGAAGTAACGACCACAATGTTTCCGTTTCGAACACAGAACACGCCTTGGCAAACTCCTAATCACCTCGAAACGTGATTGCAAAGAGACGGAGGGCGGTTTGCACCCCGTAAAAGTGAGGCAAAAAAACGTTGCATTGAATTCCAACGGGTTGTACACAGATCAGATAGTTTCCACTCTCCACCATAAGTTTGAATCACCATATCTTGAGCACGTTTAAGCCATTTAGCAGATGACGCGTTAAGCGTCTTCACAGCCTTTTGAGCTTGCGTCGTGGCGGATCGGAACGTAGGTGAGCTGAGTAGCTCTTCATAAGATTGTTTATATCATGAGCGAAGCATTTCAGGAAAACAACATCAGGCCACCGCAAGGCAAGTATCCGACGAGCTCGACTGCACTGAGATGCGTCGTCGGTAATTGCAGCGCCAATCTTCCAACCTTTGGTCTCGGCATCGATCATTATACACTCCATTTACTTTGCCAATGTGAATCCATCATGGCTCGAGTCGGTCGGAAAAAGACCAAACGTAGTGACGGCTCCATACAAAGCAAGTTGACACCCTAATAGGTGTTTTTTGTAATGTTTTGCCAGATGTCGCTCAGAAAGTTCACTCTTCCACCAGTGCGATTCTGTTTGCCCCTCATTTCTTCATCTTCCCCTGCCGCACCTTTTTCAGCGTACATCGTCAACATGGGCCCGCCGAGCGTCCTTCTACCAGGTAAATAGTTTACTGCTTCTGGGCCCAAGCGGCCTAAGCTTTCAACAAATCGTAGTGTACTTGGGCGCTCGATAAATGAATCGGGTAAGCGGTTACCAACCTGGAACTCAAGCAAGTCGACGAAAATGCTGTCGGCGTCAGCTTTGCTTGCAGGCTGAGGGGTAACACTAAGACTCGCCGATCGATCTACTTGGTGGTGATGGGGCCGGTCTGAAGCCATTTCCAATGCGGCGCGAGCCATGCGAGCCTCTGGTGTCAGTGTTGCCAGATCAGGTTGGATAATCAAACTGGTTTGATGATGAGCGGTTTTGATGTTGATGGAAGTTTCATCGCAGTTCCTTGGTATGATGAGAAAGGATGGCCACATTTCAGCACACTTAAATTTTGTATTGATCGGTTAGGAGCGAATCTTGTCCAAACAAGATTCAAAGGGTCACTATTCAGGTCAAAATTTTAAAACTTTGAAATTTGTGACGCAGAATACCGTCAAGGTATCAGTCAGCTTCGACATCAGCATTGGCTCACGATCCCTCTTTAACCTGTCTAGTCACCGTCAATACCAACACAAACTCCTAGTCGAATGAAATCATGGCGTATCAGCCATAGCGGAATGTAAGCAACCAGGACCGGTGGCGATGGCCGGAAAATGCCGTTCTTCAATGACGTTCCGGTTTGGTCGAACTCGGCCAGCGGCTCAGAAGGCTGTGCAGTGGGCCCAATATCTCGCGCTTGCTATCATTTGTAACTTGACCAGCTAAGATGATATTCAAGAGGAGTTGATCTCAAGTGGCCGAGGTCGACCGCAACTACGTGGATGGCGCTACGGAATTTGAGCTGTCGTCAGGCATGGATAAAGATGCTATGCGAGC